GCCCATCCTTGTAACCTGTCTAGGTCCAACTGTAGCCTGTTGCTCCCCTCTAATGTGCCCACATCCCCCCACATCTTAGTGTCATCAGCAAACTTGAACAGGGTGCTTTGCACCCCCTCATCCAAATCACTGATGAAGATATTGAACAGGGCGGGCCCAAGGACCGAGCCCTGTGGGACCCCACTTCCCACGTCCATCCAGGTCGAGAAGGACCCATCCACTACCACTCTCTGGGTGCGACTCTCTAACCAGTTGGCGACCCATTGGACTGTATGGGTGTCTACGCCTTAAATCTAATTTAATTTGAGGGTCATTAAGGACAGATTCCTTACTGTAGTTTATGTTTTATCAAAATAAAACATGCAGTGAAATAAGTAATGAACATGGAAGTTTATGTTTGAGTTGTCACTGTTTTTACAGCCATCTGATGATGATACAATCAGCCTTCACTCTCAGGTATCAGAATCAACAAGGGAACAGACTTTAAGAAACGACAATCATTTAATAGGAAATAAACACGACTCACAGAAAGGTAAGGCCTATGGCATGTGTGTTGTCGTAATGTGCTTAAATTCTTGTTTGGTCAGGGCATAGATCATCTCAGGTAGGCACTTCCTAATCTCATACGATGGTGTAGTACATCTATATGTTCATCATTCCAAACATCACTGTAATAAAATTATAAAGATCAAGTCAGAAAATGCACAGTGAGAAAGAAATAGGTGTCTTGAAGATCCTTTCTACATTCAAAAGTCAAGATTTCACCATATTGTCTTTTTTGACTTTGTTACAAGTACCTTTCTTTCTTAGGAGTAACATTAGATTGAGAGAACTGTTTAATATTCTCTTTTCCAATCTCCATCAATCATCACTAGACCAGGAGGTGGATGATTATATTGACCCTAATGCAGAAGATGCAGCTATTCCTGAACAAGGAGATGTACAAATTGGACCATTTATCTCTTACATTAAGGTACTGTAACTTCAGAAGAGGAAAAAACTAGATGGTACATTTAATTCATTAACATCTAAACTCTTAATTTTTTCCATTCTGTATAAGGAACAAGGAAAGCATCCTGAGAAATCCCAGAAAATAGAACAGAATGAAGAATGGGGAGATGAAAAACGGTGAGCCTTAAAGACATATTTTTAAAACTTCTGTTTGTAAGATGAGTGTGCTATGATGGATACAAATAATTTTGGTTGGGGAGAAAAAGTTAAAACTTTTAGCAAGGTCTTTTCAATTACAGTCAGGTAACATCACCATTTACTTAAAACAAGCAAGTAACAGAATGTGCATGCATTTCCATGATCTGCCAAAAACAAGATTTTAATCTAAACTAATGTTTCATCTTTCAGGCTTCAGAAAGAACAGTTGTTGGCAGAGGAAGAAGATGAATTGAAAGAAGTGACTGACTTGAGAAAAATAGCAGCTCAGCTACTGCAGCAGGAGCAAAAAAACAGGTATTTGGGTTTTGTGTCAGTAGTCAGTTAAACAAGTTGCACTCTGTTTTTAGTTTATCAGATTACATACGGTTGTGCATCTTAAAATCCTTGGTATCTTATAACTTTGAGAAGAGACTTGTGCAACTAAGCTCGTTAAACAGTTGAAGTAATTCATAAAATGTTTTTAGCTGTGCCATGTGTCTGCCTGCATAGAACTACCGGATAGATGAACAGCAATACTCAAATACAATGGTACATATGATGCAGAGCAAGGAGTTGATTGGATTTTTTTTTGTAGCTCATGTTGTCACTAAAAGAGAAGAAAATGAGTCTGAAGTGAACATATCATATATTACGGAGTTAACGTACCCTTTCATTATGTGTCTTGGTGTGTAATTATTTTTCAAAGCAAAACATTCCTATTTGGAAGTAGTGGAATCTGGTACTGGAAGATTTTTGAACACTATTGCTGATGTGACGAATTCATTTCAGCTTAGAGTTTAAGCATGAAGATACAAGTATGCAAATGCTATTTCTTTGCAGCTGTTGCTCATACAAAAAAGGAAGTTTTCATCGAAGTTCTATGGTCTTGTAGGATAATACATCCTTTCAGCTTGCTGAAATGTGTATTTCTAGGTTTTATAGAGGAAAGATCATGGCATGTTCAAGCATGCTACTTTCTCATGACAGAACATGTGTGCAAACAAGCTAGATATCATTAATTTCATCCTGACTTCTTATCTCTCCTCTAGCTAGGTATCACAAGTTCTTCCTGACTTCTTATCTCTCCTCATCAATTGGCATTTTCCCTTGAGCATTGCAATGAAATGGGTTCTCGAGGAGGGATTTGAGCCAGGACTGGAAAATGGCCTTGAGGATTATTTCAGGGGTGGTATGAAAGCACACAAGGTGTTTATGAGAGACGGGGCAAAGGGCTGACAAAGGCCCTGCTCTTAGTGTGCTATTTGGGAGAAGAGGGTGAGAAGAGTCATTTGCCAGAAGGTGTCTGGGGATCGTGGTCATAGTTAGGAGAAGAGCAGGGAAGAGGAGCCACAGTACTGACGGTGAATGGCAATGAGCAGGAAGGGACCTCTGCTGCTGAGCGATCACAATCCATGTAACAAGATGATGACACATCCCACAGTCCACTGAATGCCATTTTCATTAGTCTTGAGTTTCCATATTGCTATGGATGCTCTGCTGCAGTTTTTCTTAAAAGGCAGTGGGGAAAGATAAACAGTAAGAGATCATTATACCCTGCTCCTGCAGCTGGAAAATTGTCTTCAGGACCGTGCCAGTGCTCAGTCCTTATTTGAGTTCTGTGTGAATTGTTCAGAGCGATTCTATAGCAGTAATTACTTGTAGTTTCATGTATTGTATTTAAAATGTGGACATGTCCATTGGGATGGGAAAAATAATGAAGATAGGAACATAATTAAGTGTATTAAAAGAAATGTAATTAAGTATATCATTGCTGTTTTATTGTAGTAGAGATTTAAAGTAAGGAGATTAGCATCTAAGGAAGAGCTGTCCTTGCTAAGAGGCAGGCTGGCAAAGATGTTGCCAAGAAAAGGCAAATCTCTGAAATCCTTTCTCTGATATGAAATACAGACATGTAAAGGCAGTATTTGGAAGTTGTAGTGTGCATTGTTTGACAAGCATCATATATATTTACCTGCTGCCACCTTTGAAGGTAAGCAGCAGCAGACGGGTGGGGGGCAGCGGCTGCAGCCCAGAGCCTGAGTTGGGGTTTGCCTCACAACCTTGTACTTGAATCCAAAATGAGGGGCTTTCCTTCTCTATTTGGGGGGGAGGAAGAGGGCTTGTCTTGAATTTGAGTAAATATGACAGATTGAAAAACATTTAATAAATTTCCCAATTACATAAGCATTCACTACCTCAGTATTTAAATTAAGCTGCACATGTTAAACATAACCATTACTGTACTGTATACGGTAATTTAGTTCTTAGTTCTGTCTTTTGCCTCAGGTGGCTCTGTCCTTGCATATTCCTATTTATTATTTGTTAAAGTTTTCCTCTAATGCCTTTGGAACTTGCATAAAGAACATATACTTCTAAACATGTGGTGACAAATTCAGCACTCCTTGGTCAGTAGCATTTAGTAAGCAATAAGTTAGCCTTAATTTTGCTTGTGATTTTGTCAATTTATAATTCCTTCTTGTGACAGCAATGAATAATCTTTAGATGTTTACAATAGAAATATTTCTGGTTTTGAATCTGAAAATATGTAACTATTTTCAATGTATAGCTTTGATCTGATCACATGAAATTCTCTAAAATGTATGCACCCAGAAGTAAGTTCTTATTAACAATAACTGATCATTTGGCATGTTTACTTTTAATCCTATGCAGTCTGTCCACTCTCTCCTTTCTCCTTGCTGTACTAATGACTTCCCTATCCTCTCCCATCAACCTCTCGTGCTTCCTTCTTCCATCTTTGGGTTTGATGTACATGAAATGTGAATACAGACGGAGACCATTAAGCTATAGAACTTCATTCAGTGAAAAGCTGTTCCAGAGGACAAGGGCGGCAGGACGTGCATCAAGGTATCCAGTGTTTGTGGAGGTTTAAAATTCAGAAGATGATAATGTGTTGAAGAAAAGCAACATTAACTGAAATTTGCTTATTCAAAATAAAATAAAGTGACTGGAGGAATTAGCATAAGATCCCTAATGACTAAAAATAGATCTCAAGGTAAATGATTATCCAGTATTATCCCCAAGGAGAGAGTATGCATTTCAGAACATTAGATACCCTTCCAAAACTGGAGTTTAGGAAGTTTATTAGCTTAAATTCTTCCCTCAGCTCCACCAGTGACTCGCCAAACTACAATTCTCAAACCTCACCTCTTGTCCTTTGCAAAAACAATGTTATCCTAGTATAGCTCAGGAATGTTTGACCCCTCCTCTCCAAATGCCTTCATCTCTATGTATGAAAAAACAGTATTTCATGAGAAAACTTGTTTTTGAATGGCTTTAAGCGGTACTTTTTGGAAATACTAGCTTGAAATTGAGTCTGGTTTGGTGAACTTCTTGGTTCCAGTGTGGGAACCAAGGAGTGAACAGACAGGGAAAGCCACATGGGAGTAAAGAAATTCAGTACTGGTATGCAAAGGGAAGAGCCATCTGTGAAGATAGGAAATGTGATTTGAGTCCATCTCTCCTTTGATTTTCAAATTCCTCTGCATCTCTTGTGTCATTGGTGAGGCCCATCAAACACCTTGTACACCTTGCAGTGATCACTACCCCTGTGCAGTTCCTGCTTCCTTAACATTAAGGTTTAAAGTTAATACGTTTACTTCAATGGGAGTTTTTCTTGTTTTTCCATATTTATTATGTCATATAATGCAAACATTGCAGCTTTATATATAGCTGTTTTTGTCTGATGCTGTTAGAAGACCTGAAAAATTGGATCCTTGTTGATAAACTATAGGGAGTATGCACTGCATGATGCAGATCGTTTGTTTATTTCACAGGTTTGACCCTGCGTGATCCATTTAGTTAAATAGGATTTACATAATTACATAAACATGCAGCATCTAGAAGACTTAGCCCACTGCTGAGACTGTTTAGCTTAATGCTGCTCTAACAGTCCAGGATGGATCACAGTGGAAGTATTTAATATATTACTTGAATTGATGACTAATAAAGGCAGTTTTAGAAGGATGATTTTACAGTGTCTGTCTTCCTGTAGCCGCCTTCTCTATCTTTCAGAGAGTCATGGTTCTGATTATTTGTTTGTGCAAGTCCCATTTTGTATCTTAAAAAACCCTGCACTCTGGGCTCAATCCTGCACACATTGAAGTTAATGGCATCTAGCGGTGCAAAATTGTTAGCCCCAAAGAATTCAAAAGTTGTAAGTCTGTCCCCTAAATATCTTGACTTGCTTAAAGATTTTACGATTACAAATTGCCTTCATTGATTTGCTTTCTGTTTTTCAAATCTTTAAAAGGACCCCGCATGTCCTGCCAGTTCTTTGGGTGATTGTTTCAAGTTAGAAATGCATGCGCAAATGCAGACCACCAACTAGTTTGGACTGGACCCTCTAGGTTTTAGGAGAAGGCAGTTATCATCTTTCATAGACATTGGGGCTGGAAGGGACCTCAGAAAATAATAGAGTCCAGCCTTATCCCCATCTTATTCATCCCCATTTTACCTTCCAGTTGCTCTTCCTACTTCTTCCTAGTTCTCTAGTTTTTACCCCTGAAAACCTCCTGCCCAACACCTCGCTCCCACCTTACCATTTCTCTTGCCCCACGTCCTAAGATCTGCATTTTCCTTGCCCTCCACTGTCTTCCTCCATATCCACCTAACCGCTTCTGCAGTCTTCCTTCCCGTATGTTTTTTGTCCCTGTCTTATTCACTGCACTGTGTCTTACTGTTTCCTCTCTCTGCTGCTTGTGATGCACAAGGCTGAGCTTCTGTGTTGAAAGCAGCCTGGCTTCCATCCATGGAGAACAATTGTGGTGGTGTCCATTGGGGTAAAAATCAGCTGGGGCGCCTTGTTTCTGAAGAGCTTTAATGAAAAGGATATGCAGCGTTTGCAAGACTGAGGTACCATGAGAGTTAGGAACTTTGCTACTGACTTCAGTGAGAGCAGGATTGGGTTTTGCTGAGTTCCCTTGATAGAAATGCATTCAGCCTGCATGCGACATATGTCCTGACTTGTTTCGAATGTTTATTTTGCAGGAAGTGTTTTGTTAGGGTGCTCTGTACACTGGAAAGGTTTTTAAAAAGAGCGCTGTTTAGATAAATGTATACTTTTTTTTTCCCCCCCAGGCTCCTTAATCATTCGACCTCAGTAAGTACGAGAAACAGGCCAAAGCAGCAGACCGTGGAATCCGAAAAAAGGTATTAAGAAAATTATAGTCTTATTTGTCTACTCGAGTTACCAGTAGGTAGTATAGTTACTGGAGACACTAAGTAATAGGAGTGAGTGATCAGGTAGCTTGCTTCTTCATTTTTATTTTGTGTGCTAAACACTCTGTGTGTGTACAGTCAGTTTATATCACCATTTCTCCTGTTGAAGAGGACTTTCTAAACATCAACAGAGGAACAGAAAAATAACAACACCTTTATAAACTATTCTAAACATTTTCAGGATGCCTCAGGCACTTTTTTTACTCTGTCAGTTAAGAAATGTGCTTTGGTGGTGTTGCAGAGACATTAGTATTGTTTAACTTTTGCCATCATCCAGATGAAGCATTCTCTGATCCTCTGAATTTAATTTGCCCTTTTAATCCTAGAGATACAGGCAGGCTAGACTCTTATCTGTATGATGTCTAACTCAGCAGTAGGTGTGAAATTTCTCACTTTGAACATTTCTTGAGTAGAGTGTAAGAAATAATTAGTTTTTGTGTTTGTCAAGGAGCTCCTGTATTTAAACTGTTAGTACTTTAAAAAAGTCGTCAGCTCTTCTATGCTATAAACACCATGTGTCCAGGTTATTTGGGCACTGAAATGTTTAACAGTAAACTGAAAGTAAACTTTTTTTATATGATCACTTTTTCAGGGATATCCTTAACTCTGCTTACTCGAGTTTTTAATGAAAGTTGTTGCAGCTAATACCAAACATTTGCCAACTCTAAAAAGAAGCATTGAGGAATCCAAGTCATCTTCCTCAGAAATGTTGGGGGGTGGAAAAACTCTTTTAACATTTTGCCAGTGAACAATGTCAAATCCTTCCCGCAGCAAAATGGTTGGGTTTAGCATAAAGTGGTGTTATGAGAAGGGGGTGTTAGCAATGAGTAACACTTTTAATGCAACATTCATGCCAGGGATGCATGCTGCATCATGCTATGTGCCACTAACTCAGGTTCTGTTTGTATGGGAGACAAGTACAGGCTAATGGATGAAAAGCAATTGTAGCTGTCTGAAAGGTGAGAAGGAGAAAGTAGATGAGAGAGAATACTATACGCAAGGAACAGAAAGCAGTGCAGTACTTAGAAACCTTGGTATACTACAGCTACCTTGTCAGCATTAGCCAACAAACTTTTCTTTGCTGGCTGCTCACAGATTTCTGTGTGTCAGCTGTTGGCAGCCTTTTTGGCCCACTTGTTAAATACTCAAGCATGTTCCTTCTCCATGCTGCCTCTCATACTAGAGAAACTTTCGGTAGGCATCCACAACACTATCTCATCGTACTCCTTCAAAACCCTCATTAAAACTTTCTTTTCCCAACTCCTGCAAAGCACTTGAAAATAGTTGGCCTGCCGGTTCGTCATGCCAGTCAGCATTGTCTTTTTTTATTTTTTCCCCCACTTCCCTGTCTGGTCTCCGTGTGCTGTCTCTTGCCTTATAGATAGGATGTAAGCTTTTTGTGATAGTCTTGTTATTCTTTGTTCTTTATCATTCTAGTCCCCCCCTCTCAAAAGGGATGTAGCAGAGATAGAAGAGGCACAGAGAAGGGCAGCAGAGATGACTAGGCATGGGGAGGCTTCTGTGCAAGGAGAAATAGGTTAAGTCTTTTCATTTTAGAGAAACAGCGACTGATGGGGATGACTGGTGAGAAAGGTCTATAACAACGGTATTCAGGCCATGGGCCAGATCTGCTCTCTGGAGTCATGTCATCAGCCTGTGGAGCTCCTCAGGGGTTTGAAAATTTGGCAGTGGGAGAGCAGTGGTGGCGTTAATTGCTGTTTCCCTGCTGCTAAATTTCTGGACCCATGGGGAGCCCCGCAGGCCAGATCACATGGCTTCAGTGTGCCAAATCATGCTAGCATGTGCCTGGTTCTGGGCCCACAAGGCCAGGCCAGCACAGCCAGATCTGGGTGTGTGGGGTTGGGCCAGAGGGCATGTGGGGTCGAGCCAGCATCCTGGATCACACCCACAGACTGACCCTTCCCAGACCATCCCCAGGTCACTCATCCAGCCCACAGGGCTAGACGGTTGGACACAGGTGGTCTATAAAATGGTGAATGGCATGAAAGTAAACAAGGCTTTACTATTGAATAGCCCACAGTAGTAGAACTAGGGGACATGCAATCACATTACCAGGCAGCTGCAGACAAAAGGAAGTGTGCAGTTCACTCATGGAAGTTAGTTATGTCTACAAGATGTTGTAGAGCAAGGGTGTCAAACTCAAGTGGCCCTGTAGGCCAGATGAGCACTCCTGAGCTGGCCTGAGCGCTGGACCAGGACTGACCCCTGTGGAGTGCTCATGGGGCATGTGGCATCCTTGACTTTCCATCCCCCTGTGCAGCCTTCAGCATGCACGGCGCTGGTTCCATCCCGCACATCACATGCAATGCATGGGGCTGGGGCTGGGGCTAGTTCACTGACCTACAGGCTGGATCTGGCTCACAGCCCATAGGTTTAACACGCAATTATTGTTGTAAAAACCAATAATTTAACCAAAGAACATTCATGCAGGATCAGTCCATTGGGGGATATTAAACACAACCTCCAACTTAGAAATTCCCTGGCTTCTGAATGCTGGATCCTGCAAGGGAAGAGGGACAGGGGACAGATGAGGCTGGACGGGTCCTGCATAAATACTCTTCCCCTTAGTGTCTACTCTCTGCCCCTGTGAGATGCAGGATACTGAGCTAGAGGGGTCTATGGTCCAGCCTGGTATGGCTCCTTTTATGCTCTTACATTTTCTTTGCAGTGCCTAAAATAAAGAATCCTGGTTCATGGCTAGGCTTCGTAGGTGCTGTGGTCATACAAACAATCCATTCAGATCACTGTTGTAACCTGTCTGATTGATCTGGCACTTTCATGAGGACTCCTGCCATCGTGCCACAAATGGTTTTTCATGTACTGACAACACAGGTATGCATCTCGCTGTCATAACCTCGTAGCATAGTGAACCTGCATGATTCATGCCAAGTCTGATGTTCAGTCCATTTACTGTCCTTTCACGTGGAAAAGTTGTAGTCTTGTGTCTTCCTCAGCTTCAAAGCTTCTGGAACATTCAGGCATTTTTCCTTTCCCATGTATTTTACAGTGATTTTACCCCCTGTGTCAGTAAGCATCCTTTCCTGCTGGGTGGTACAGCACTGCTATTCAATGAGCTGACAGGTGTGCTGGTGCTTGTGTGTAATGCACACAGCAAGACAGCTTTGTCTCAAAAAACTTACAGTATATGTGAGGAAGCAGTGATATGTCGTGAAAGTAATGCTTAACTCCTCCAAGTTCAGTCATCAAAGCAGTGGGAGATAGCATTCATGATTTCTGACTACCGTCAGGAGCAAGCTAAATGGGAAAGTCCCTTGTCCAAGGGCGACTGGCATCTTTTTATCGCTTGGTCTGTTGTTTAGAACCAGTGTTAAGTAGATGAGGAATAGATATGATATTTGTAAGAAGGAAGCTTGGCAGATGCAAACTTACTTCCTTTCAATGTCCAAGAGAAGAATTTGTTAACCAAAAGGTTTAGAACCGGTAAAGCCACAGTCCCGTGTCTGAGATGAAATGCAGCCCTCCAGAGCAACCGTTTCTGGTGCTAATTACAGGATTCACTTCAAGCAAGAAACAACCTGAGCAGATTCTGTTGCCTGTTTAAATATTTGCTGTAACAAATGGAAATGCAGAAAAGAAGTAAATGCGCAGGGAACATACTCTCCATGTGTAGCTGCTTTGCAGTGCTTTCTCTTTCTGCTTTGATTTTCTGGGGAAATATGTGTCATGTATATGTGTTGTTCAGTAGTTTTTAAACTGCCTGTGATGTTTCTGGCAGGGGCATGGCTCTAGGCAGGAAGATGTATGTTGTCTTTTACAAAAGACAGATTATCATTGTATGACCCCAAAGTGAATTCTTAAGGAGTTTTCTCTGTCTGTGGTTACTGCCTTCCTATTCTTCCCTTTTAGGCTTTCCAGTACAAATATCCTTAAAGTAAGATGACTGCACACTATACTAGCCCTCAGTGGGGAGTTTCCCAATTTGCATTTTGTTTCCCTAAAATAATCCTGATTTTGCTTCTGCAGTCTGGAAGAAAGCTAATAGATTCAGGTGCTGTATTCAGTTAGGTCACATGGCGAGATATGAAATCCTATGGCTCACTGCTGAGCAGCACTCAGTGGTTCAAAAGCAGGAAAGAACGGTTAGTAGCCACAGCCCATGAATCTTTTTTCTCCTTTGTGGGAGTACCTGATATCCATGGTATCCTCATCTATAACCTTTATATCGTTGCACGTGCTCTGGTCATACGGCTGACAGTCTGGGTATGCACTGGCCACGTCCCGTGAGGGTAAGAGTTTGTGTTTGTAAGCCCGTCTAGAGTGGCGCAGTACCTTTGTGATGAAGACCGCTTTCTGTGTTTCTCTCCGTCAGAATTGACCATGCAATAGCATGCGCTGCCAGATGTTGGAACAGTTGCTCCTAGGCTCTTAAGGGGAAGCACATGTTTTCTAATGCTGCCTAACCTGCCCCTTCAGCTCCCGTGAACTTTCAAGCAAGTGGTGTTTACAGCGGTGTGAGAAGAGGCAGGGAGTCATATGGTGCAGGCTCAGCCCCTTCTTCCCATGACGCATGGCCCTTGCAACTGTAATTAGCCTCCTTTCTTCTGCAGCAGAAGGGAGCATTGTAATGTAAATATATTACAGCTTTGCACACCAACATCACATGAGATCCAGTATTTGAAGGACATTGCTTATTTCTTCTTTTCCCTAAGTACAGTATAGGTATTGCAGTATTTTAGCAATATCTATTATCCAAGAGCTGGAAGGTACTGCTTGTACTAGCTACTCGTGTTATGAGAAATGAGCATATTATATGTCAGAAGACTATGAAAACAAGTTTCTAAAATACTGAAATCAGTGCCTCTTTCATTTTTTCTCATTTAGCTCTTTATACCTATAATTTTTCAAATAATGAGGTTTCCCCATGGTACCATATTATTGGACAATAGCAA